CCCTCACAGAAAGTTATTTCATAAAACATCTATGAATATGCTGCCTAATGCCTGAGACATTGTTTGACAATAACTTTGCTTTAATGTTTTAACTGAAAATATATTTTTAAACTTATAGGGCAAGGCAAAATAATACCATAACCAATTTTTTGGGGGTTTAGGACTATTTTACCATTATCGGTGTTACATATTATCACTGCTGGGACAAAACCTTGTATCTCCATTTTTTAAGAATATAAACTAGCTTTTCAGACTGAGCAAGAATTGTTTATTTCTGAAAGTTGTTATAGAGTGGTGGCGATATGAACATGCTTATTAAAATGTGCATAGTGGTATTACCTCATTATCCTGGTGTACAGCTTTGTAATGACGGACTGTGGATAATCACTTTATTTGGACATTGAAAAAGTTGCAAATTTTCTGCACTTGAGCTACCAGACGACAGACGTTTAAGACATCTCAAGTCATTATCACCTCATTGGTAATTCCCAATGAAACCTGTGAATTTACCACTATTGTTCCCAGACAACAGTCTACTGTTGCAGCCCAGACAACAAAAGTGAGTAGGACATGCTGATCCATGAGATATGAGCAGTTACTAAAGAAAACAAATGGACAATGCAAGAAACACCTCTTCTCAGCAGCAAAACAGCTTTCACAAAGCAGCTCTTGGGCTGCCCACTATAGTCTAACCACTCTGACTGGTTCACTTTCACCACTTCTACCTGGCCTGCACTGTCACCTGAGAGTAATTAAACACCAAACATAGTGGAAGCCTGAGGAACAAGTTCTTATTGTACAGTCGTATGCAAAAGTTTGGGTGCCTCTGGTCAAATGTCAGGTTTTGTTGGTCTTCTAAGTAAACATAACTGACACATCCTCTACAGAGAACACACTTCTGTACATTTTACTGCACCATTACTATTTATTAACTAAATTTAAACTATGGGGAAAAAAACATGGCCTGTGTCTTGGCACATTTTCCATTTCATGTTTTATTTTTTCCAATATGTTCAATTTAGCAAATAAATAGAAATTGTGATCTAAAATTAGTAAAAGAAATCCATATTGAGGTTTGTTCCGTTTAGAGGATGTGTTAACTTATTTTCAGTCAATAAATCAACAAAACATGTCATTTGACTGGGAGTGTTCAAACCTGGTTATGATTGTATATTACATCTCTTGGGAAACCCTTTACTTGGATAGCCCACTGTAAATGCTTCATAGATGCTTACTTTGCATTTAACTTGCATTTTGCTATTAAATCTATCTATCTAACCTTGACCTAACCCTAACCTTAACCTGGTCCTAAGCCTAACACTAACATTGTTGAGAGCTAACGTTCAAGAGATAGTTTGTTAATAAATTGAACAACTGCAGATAATCTACTGGGGGCTATGTACATAAAATTAGACAGAGCAGTGTTATTGAGATGGTTATAAGAGATGTTAAACAGCTCTATAGCTCGGTTTCTTTAACTCCTTAAATGTCCAGGACCTGCTGGTAGACCCAGACTTATATTATTCACTCCTATAATTTGGGAACAGCCCAGTCAGTTAGCATTGTTTTCCACATAATTACTAAACAATAGGATTAATGAGAATTTAAGTGAGTGACTGCCCATAGTTCCTTTGAGTTTAAGGGGTTAAATGTGCTCCAAAAAACAAGGAAATAAGTGTTAAACACTAATTGCAACACAAATGCTCACAGAAAATGAACCTCAGCACTAAAAATAGATGGTGAAAGGCTTGCCAAACTCTCTGTGTCTTTCTCTGACTCTGTCTGGGGGGTTTTGTTTTGAAGCTGAGAGCAATGTGCTGGTTTATTCAGGGAAGAAGGGGTGGGAACCACAGACTTGTCCAGAGTTCTCTGCCCAGGAAGATGTCATCTTTCCACCCCATTGCACAGGTATGGCATTGTTGATGAACTGGACTCCGGCAATCCGACTACATGCCGGATTCAATCCACAACCTATAATGGTATGCGGCACCTCGACACAGAGATGCCAGGCCCCTGATCTGTGTAAACACAGAGGCTCTGGCTTCTTATCTTTGACCAGTCAACGTGAGCAGTCTGTCAGGCCTTTGACATGTGCTAGAATTTGTTTTGCTAACTGGTTAACTTTGTATCTGCTAAACTAGTCCATCATGAAGGCCCATATAGGGCACCACAATTCCTCATTCTCAAAACTACATAACTCATTGATTGGTTTCATAGTAGTTACTGAATAAATTATCATAGTAACTAAAGTCTTCAGTTTAAGGGGTATTCAAATGGTATATGTGCATCAACTGGAAAAGGCATTTGAAGAATACCTTCTTAGACCCTGTAGGCACAGCTAAAAAATGGAATGTGTGCCTATATACAGTGCAGTTCTTGTGACGATATAAAGATATTAGTCATTTCTTGCTGTAACTCATTTCTAAATAATTATTATAAAAACTGGCTGTTTTCATTTTGAGCTAGCATGCAGTATAATGTAATGAAAAATAATTCCTTAAAATAGGCAATACAAACATTCTATCTATCTATCTATCTATCTATCTATCTATCTATCTATCTCTCTCTCTCTCTCTCTCTATATATATATATATATATATATATATATACATATATAAATTTCAAGCATACAGACATAAGTCTTTGAATCAAAACATGTATATATAAGTATATATATATATGTATGTATATATATATATATATATATATATATATATATATATATGTATGTATACATATATATATATATTTGTTTCCCAGATATTTAAATATTTGGAAGCATCATCAGGGTGTAATCAACATTAAAACTTGTGAATTTCCTTTGGCAAAACAAACACTCTTGCTGACCTTTTTCCACACCTCAGTGTTTAGACGTAAACACAGCTGCTTGTCAAAGACAGATCCAGCTTCCTACCATCTCTATCAGCTGACCTTTAATAATGGCTGGCAAGTGTTGTGAATTTCACCTGAAGCCAGCAGCCGCATCCTTGGCTCTTGGACATCAGTAGGAGAAAGACTTTTCCACACCGTAGACTGACAACAGTTGGAGTCATTGACATGAGTCAAAATCCCGGTATCATCAGCATATTTCAAGGTGTATCTGTTCTTGTACTGGCAGCAGAGGTTATTTGTGTACAGGTTATAGTGTACGGGTAAGGGCAAAATGACATGTGTCCTAAAAGGTCCTATGGAGGCCCAGAGTGAATATATTTTGATTTAGTTCTGCACGTTTCCGTTAATACTTATTTGAAATAAATAGTTTTCCTTCTGGAAAGAAAAATACAGAAAAAAGTGATGTCAGTTCTAGAGTAGCTGTTTAGTAGCATCCCAGAGTATCCTATTCCACTTTAATCAGTGCCCTTTCAGTCATTTTTTTATTTTAATTTTTGGCTTTTTTTGCCCTCTTTTATAGTAAAATAAAAATGGTAATAAGGCACTGATATGAGGTGATGTTTTGGGGCATCTTGGAAAGATAACATACTGTGTAGCGTGAATCAGCCACATCAAATCGCACCCACTTTCTGCCATGTTGATGATTTATGGGCTGTCCAAGCCAGAGCAGAGGAGCAGACCTTTCTAAAGAAGAACGAGTAGTGCTTTTATCTATACGAGCTCTGCAAATGAAGTGGACTTCTCTAGGTGAGCCTTGTTTATAAGGGCCATAAAATGACAGTAGGTTTATATTATAGGTCAAAACTCTTAAACTCTCAGCTTAAAAAAATATTAAATTATCTAAATCACATGTACACTGAATATAGAGAGCTAAACAAAATCATAAAATATATTAAATTGGTCATTTTGCATTGTTTACCAGTTACTTTGGTCATTACATATGCACTTTTTCAATACGATTTCTTTTCTTTAATGTGAAAAGCCTCCTAATCGCAGTGACCTGTATGACCTTTATTCTAATGAAGGTGCAGATTATCTATGCAGACGTAAAGTGGGTAGTTCCACTCACTACAGGTGCCTCATCCCTCCCACTACTGACCTTGAGTGCAGCGGAGATCACTGTGGGAACAGCATGCCAAGAACATTGCAGCAGCATGTTCTGCGCAAAGCTCAGACAAGCACATAAAGTACCAAGATTTTTAAAAGAAAGAGGGGTGGTGAAATATCTGTAACACCGCTGGAATCCAGATGTTCCAATGGCTTAAAAAAAGTCCTTTTGCGCAACAGCGCCATCTGGGCGAATGAAAGACAGTCTAGGAAAACTAATCTACTATCGAATTTTGAAGTAACTAAAGCAACGGTTCTTTTGCCACTGTGCCGCATTCATCTCCTTTTGGCGAATAGCTTAGACGTTCTAAAAATGGAACGGTGGAATGGAACCACAGAAAACGTGTTCACTGTGTTCTAACATCCTTCACATTTAGTCCTGGTTACTGGATACAATCCTGGGAGATACAGATATGAAAACACATTATGAACATTAGCCTTTAATTTTTGTTTTTGTTTTGTGTTTGTATGCAATAAAAATGTAATAACGGGTTGAATGAATACTACAGCCTGTATACCCACAGTATTCACTCTCAGTTTCTATACATTTTATAACGTTTTAGTTAATAAAGTTTCATCAGATAGTAACCACCGTTCAAACTTATTTCCTTTGGCAAAACAAAAACTCTTGCAGTGACGGTTAAAGGAAACCAGAACTTAAAATGAAAAGAGCTCTAAGAGCTTTTAAAACATGACATTAATGTCACACTGAACACAGAACGTGACGTTTAAAGGAACTTCACACAGAACGCGACGGTTGCAAATGGTAGGGTTCGAATCATACAGCCATTACAAAAATACACCTCTCTTATTTGCAGGGCCCGTTAAAGGCGCGCGGCCTGCACTGGCTCCACGCGCGCGCCCGGGCTCGAACCCTTGTACGAACTTCGTTACGCAGATGGTGAGCGCGTCTCTGATTGGCCAGACTCGGCCCTCCTCTTCTCGTAGGTAACTTAAAAAAAAGAGAGAGAGCGCGACGGAGAGAAGGAGGCGGAGTCAGGTGGCGTAGAAAGGATATATCGGGCGGGTCCAAGCCTCACGAGCCGGGTACGACTGTCCTTTCAGACAAAGTAAGAAAGAGGACAGCAGCCTCGGCGCTGTGAGTACCTGGGCACCACCTCACCAAAACTGAAAAAAAAACCAAAAAAACAAAAGTAACTCAAAGGGAACTTAAACGACTGAAAATGCCCACAAACAAGGATGGCGACGGCGGATGGAAGAGCTTTCTCTGGAATTCAGAAAAGAAGGAATTTTTAGGACGGACTGGCGGCAGTTGGCGTAAGTGCTCGACATTTTCTTCCTCCTCCATCGAGTATTCTGTGGGACTATAAAGCTGTGTGAAATGTCTGTGGTGACGGGTAGAACAGCGCGGCTCGATTTATCTGGCAGACGAGAGAAACGCTCAGCACCTGTTTGATCTGACTTCACAACACGCTGCTTCGTGACTTTCATTTTCAGAGAGGAAAAAACCCGCTGCCCTCATGCTGCCTGTCGTTCCTTTAGCGTGGCCATAACTAGCCTACATGAGCCAGAGAAACCGAGCGCAGGCTTTTCCTGACTAACTTTAGCATTACATCGTAACATATGAAGTAACTAATGACTCTTTTGTGTAACAGAGCTGTAACAAACCGGTGAAATGGTCAGTTATTGAACAAACCGAGCACGTAGTGAAACTACGGTCATGGAAAGCTGTTCAAAAAGCGGCTTTTTCTTTCTCAAACACACCTGCCTTGTTCGAAGACCTGTAAAAGTAGACTGGAGGTTTGAGTTTGTGTCCGTTGAGGAAGAAAAAAGGTCGCTGTGAAGGACATAATAGGCATTTTTGATCGTGTCGAAAAGAGGCTGTGTCAGAGGCTTTCGGTGCCAGAGGGTGGGCTTTCAGAGTAACGTTAGCTGAATTTCCGTGCGATGGTGTTGAGGCAGATTAACCCTATAATCTACGGTACTAAAAATTAACAGTATTACTTCTTGGATTATTCCCTTTGTTGTTTCCTCGTAGGCTAAGCTACCATTACGGGTGTGTAATTACAGCGCAGTTGCTACGTAGTAAGAGCCAGACGGGCCAATAGCCCATAACCTTTTGATTCATACACTACCCCCCCCAAGGTGAGTCAAGGTGAACGGGCCTGCTGGGGTTCACATCGGTACCTCACTGCTTTCCGTCCAGCAGGGGTTTACAGACAACACAAAACTATCGGCTTAACACAGTCATTTCGTCTTCCTGCTTCCAGTTCCAACAGTGCTGCCTTTTAGCACTTTGTTTTGGGCGGGAGACCATCCACAGCTGATAGTTTATCACTTCTGAACATACATCTATCTGTACTCTGTGTAGGGGCACACACGCTCTGTTCAAGGTCTGAGGTTATACATAACCTAGTCTGACAGTGGCTACTCATGACTAAACTGGGATGAAAAGGCTTTGGATGCACCTTAACCTACTTTGTAACCTCTTACATTGCTTTTCAGACTGTAGCCTACATTCAACAAGTGGAGTAGACAGAAATGTACATGCTGTTCTTTTCCCCCAGTTCGTAGTTGTCTATAAAATGGTGGCTATTGTCATGCTGTGACACATGTGGGAAGTCATGGGTCGATACCGATCGCTTGTAGCCCTCACGCAGCTCCGCTAGTCAAACAGTGATGTAATCGGCATTGTTATATGGTGACTATATTTAATAAACTAGGGGTTGGGAGAAAACAAATCGAGATAATTGTACTGAGGCAACATCAGGTACTCATCTTGTGCTATAGGTCTAATGTAATAGTCCTAGAACACAGTTGCAGAGCCTTGAAAACATTTGATTGAAATTTGACTATTAGCCTCATTTTAAACTCAGGGGGCTTTGTGGATTGGTTGAACACATTTTGAAAGTTCTGTCTTTACTCTGGTGCAGGCTATTTCCTTTAAATGTTTGACAGGTTTGTAATATCTGGAGGAATCTTCCTTCTGCTGCTCAGAAGCCACTGACGAAAAGTGTGTTTTCTGTGACATTATGGAGAAGAGAATGCGCCAGAGCTTTGCAACTCTGTTCACTCTCGCATTATGTAACGGGGGAGGGCCTTTGGCTGAAATCGAAGGGAAGTGAGAAAGGCTGAGCATACACCTAACTATCACCTCCTACTAGCCAGGGGCAGCAAAAGTTTTGCTGCAGTTTTTGCTATGAGTTTTTGGGTTCAGTTAAATGTGTGTATGATCTTGGTTATCTGTTGCCATATTACGCATATTTAAGGTTATCTGGAGAAGTCTGCATACATGTTATCTTCATTACCTAGAGTGAAAGATGAGCTTTATACACCCTTTCCAGTTAGACAATAGGCCCATTCCTGGGAACTGACTTATTACCTTACTCAAGTTATTGTCATTGCAAGCTATTGTATTCAAACAATGTTTGTAAATGTGTTTCCTGAAGATTTGTAACCTGTTTTTGCTAGGTCCAAAAATGAACCCACCAGTTTTTTTGGGACCAGCTAAACCTGTCTCTGTTATCACTGGGGTGGGAACTGTGGCATTTTAACACTGTGTCTAGGCCTGTAACTGACAGGAATTAAGGGAGACTTCAGCTGTGATCTGTGAGTTCTGAAAGCTAGTGGTGTGTTTCTGTACTGAGCTTCTCTCTGTCACCGACAATCACAGTAGAGTGAGAGATTTCTGAAAAATTTGGACTTGTGTTGCTGTACTTGCTAACTTCACATTACCCCCCCAACCCCTGTGGGAAAGCAAACTTCCTCCATGTGGAAAAACCAGGAAGTCTCTGGTCACGAGAGTTGCATGTCATAGCAGATTTTGCTTAGCTGTGCATTTGGAAATTCATTTCTGTCTAATTGTTATAGGAGTGGGAAAATGAGACACATAATAAAACACCATTTAACATTGATTTGAGAGTTTATTTTCCTCTTGCTTTAACTATGTTTTCACTGTATTTAACTGCACACACTACTAGAGTAAAACGTTCTGGTTTAAAGTACTTATTGTTTAAATGTTTGTTTTTATATACTGTACACTTAATTTAATACAATAAGTAGGAGAATGTTGACTGTTCTGGTGATTTTTTCATAGGTTCATTGTCATCATTAAGCTTTGATGACTGAAGAAGACAAATCCATAATGTTTTTTTCATGAAATATCCAGTCCACAACTTACGTAATGGGCACACAGATATGCCAAATAATTCATTTTGAATGGTTAAATATGCTAAATGTAGCCACTCTGCACAGTTTCTCATACGACTGTCAATGTTCAATATGGTTTTTATTCCCTCATTATTAATACTCTGCTTCTTTCTCTGCAGTTAAAATCTTCATCTTCTACGTTATCTTCTATGGCTGCTTGGCTGGAATTTTCATCGGCACTATCCAGGCTATGCTGCTGACCCTTAGCAACTACAAGCCCACGTACCAGGACAGAGTTGCACCCCCAGGTAATTAATCAGAGTTTTTAAACTGTAAAAACTAACAACAAATGTCAGTATTCAGAGTTCTCTATTTGTTATTGGGACCAAAATGCAAAATACCACATTTAAGTATTAAGTGTTACCACACTGTTGGTATTTTTAACTAGTATCTGTTAGATCTGTCACTATATGTCTCTGTTATTGGTATCACTAATTTAAATATTACAGGATGCTTTGCTAAGTGTCTGTTTTTACTAACTTTTAATCAATGTGTTATTTACCTAGTGAATTTACAGTTATAAAACGTACCGCATTACCGACCCTGGTAAACAGGCATGTAATGTGGTTGTAACAAACGACAAGAGCAGCATCAATGGGACAGAGTATATTAGTCATAGCTGTAGTAGTGAGGAAAGAATCATCTTGTTTTTACTGTGAAAGTTTCATAATTTGCAACAAAACCTTGCAGTCTTTCTCTAAATATTCGTGTCATGGCTTTCCTGTTATGAATGGTGGGAGAAAGACAAAGATATTTTCAGCCATTTTGTCATTTTACTCTTCTGTCAGATTGGTGGGGCTTTCTCTGTCAGCTCTGAGGGGAATGCTGTTCTTCACAGCTTGATGACTGCCATCAGATGTCTCAGAGCTGCCTTTTCTTATAGCTGGGGGGATGGTACTTCACTTTAAACTGTGTTTGTGTGCTTGTTAGGTGGTCACTGGAACAACACAGGCCCAGGGTATATCAAGCTTCTTAACATCCATTTTACGAACTAAATTAAAAATAAAAAAGAATGAAATAACCTTGAAACCAAGGGAAAGCAGAAAAAGTACAGTGCATTGTGTTTGAAGCTGTTGCTCCCCTAATCTCTGGGGAGGTTCAGACACTGCTTGGTTTCTCATTGCTCTATTGGCAGGTATAAGCCCAGCCAGCTTCAACTGTCTTGTGCCAATTAATGTTTGCACAGTGCACACTGCTGCCTTGGCATATATTTAGCAGCATTCATAAAGGGCTGGCTTAGGCTCAGAACATTAGCCAGTTGCCAGTGCTGTTTCCCTCTTGAAGAGCAGAAACCCTTGTGCAGATAGATTTAGTGAAAGAAGGAACATGAGTAGGTGCAGAGTGGAGCCCAGCAGAGCGCGCTGTGATTGGAAGCCATGATAAAGGAAGGAGGTGGTAGACACACTCACTGCTCTCAAGTCCCACCCTCCTCTCGGGGCCTAAAAGTTTCCATTGTGTGAGAGAAGCACGTGAGGGTGGTGGTGGGGGTGGGGGCGGTATGGCTGAGAGAGTGTGTGGCTAAGTCTGTGTAAGTTAACAAGCAGTAAAAAAAAATACTTGCCAAAAAAGCTTTTTTTTTTCTTTCAAATGTTTTAAGTTGTGTGTCAGAGTGGCAGGGAAGTGCACATCCATGCTAAGACCGTTAAGAAGAATCATGACCTTAGAAACGATACAACGGTTCCTCCCACTCATTCTCCCTTACAGGCTCTGCTCATGCCACGCCCCAGTTTGGCCTTGTGCTTGAGCTGGGTGGAAAATTACTGCCAGGCTGAGAACATGAGGTTCATCTGAATAGCTAACTTCCATGACAATGAATGGATTTGTTGCCTGTGCCTTGGTTACCATGCAGTATTCCATTGTCTGCTGACTAATGGAGAGGAGAGATCTCTACACTAATATACCAAAATAGTAAAAACAAAGTGTGTGTGTGTATGCATGTATGTATGTATGGTATGTATGTATATATATAGATATATATAAAATCAATATTACTATTGTCCCCATGTCTATGAACGTAAATGGCGAAAAGAAATATGTAGAAATGCAGAAATTATTCAGTGGTTCAACCTTTGCCACGTTCTTTCTTTTGAACCAACATTGTCTTAGTTCAGTACAAATTTTTATTTATATATTTTTTTATGAAAGCTGGTCTGTCAGATCATAATGTCCATTCTGGGTTCTAAAGAACTACAGCTCATCTTTACTTCTCTCTCCTCAGGCCTATCACACACACCACGCTCAGACAAGGCAGAGATCTCTTTCAGCCTGTCGGATGAGGACTCTTACAGAGCCTATGTAAAAACCATAAAGGAACTGCTGGAGCCATACAACGAAGAAAAGCAGACTGATATTACGAAATATGAAGACTGTCTTGGTATGCAGAATTTCCACAATATAATTCTACTGAAGGCTAACTAAAGTACTAGATGTGCTAGTTGTAACAAAATGTTGCATATTGTTGCTGTACCAATACAGTACAAAAACAACTTTTTTTATAGCAATACTACAGAATTGGAATAAACTGGAATAAAAACCCTTTACATTATCTTACATTAAAAATAAAGAACAATGTTGCCCTTCTGAAAAATGACTATTTATTACCAGTTATCATGATACTTGTTTTTCTTTGGACAGTGATGATGTACAGTTGGAGTTCGCTAAAGAGCTCTGAAAAGAGCATAGCTAAAAATAAGTGACATCACAGTTAACCCTTAAAGCAAAATGTTTCTTATGTGTAAACAGTCTTCATAGAATATATTAAATTGCACCAGTGGGATGACACCATGACTGTATATCCCATGGATATAATGCATCTCTGGTTTATTCTAACATGTTCATAGGAAGGAAGTTGAAATGTGACCAATGAATTTTTCCCATGCCGTCATCTTCACTTGTATTTCCACATAGCTTGCTGATGCTCACTGCTGTGTTAGGGACTTGAATATTTGAACTGACCTGCTTTGTTTTGTTCTGCATTTAGAAACTCCTGATGGATACAAGAACCGTGGAGATCTGGAGAGTGACATGGGTGTTAGGAAGGCCTGCCGTTTCAAGAGATCCTGGCTGGGTGCCTGTTCAGGCACGGAAGACAGCACGTTTGGCTTTAAGGACGGCAAACCTTGTCTTATCGTAAAGCTCAACAGAATTGTCAACTTCAGGCCGAGGGTGAGTTTTACAGTTAGAGGTCGTTTTTACCTAGAGGATGTCATTTTAACTCATACCAATATTGAGCAACTTCACGATTAACACATGGAACAGCACAGTGGTGGTAGCACATGTGGTAGTCGGACCACAGCATAATACAATTTTCATTAAAATCCATGTGATATTTAACATGATGCAAGATGACACAACTATGTTAACCAAGTTGTTTTACCCATTACCAAGCATGTACCGTACAGAAAGTTAAAATTATTTATCAAATTCTGACAAATTAGACAAGAAATGTTTCCACTTGAGTCAGTGACATGATTTGAATATTATCTGTTGTGAAGATAATTTGCATACATGTATGCATGTACATCCCTGTCTAATGGATTTAGGTGAGGTATTTGGTCTCACTGAGCTCACTTTATCTTCTTTCTTCCTCAGCCTCCAACATCCAATGCATCTCTCCCTACGGCTGCCCAAGGATCTTTACATCCCAATCTGATTCCTATCTACTGCACCAACAAGGTACAAACCCTGCATTCTGGTATACAACAGACATTTTCCTAGTCAACCAGCCATTTAATTCTCAGTCTGTGATTTTTACATTTATGTTAATGTTTGAATGTTGAGATTAACCAATAATGTAAATCTGTATTCTGGCACTAATACCATTTTTCTCCCCTGTGCAGAAAGAAGAAGATGCTGGGAAAATCGGAGAAATCAAGTACTATGGTGCGGGCACTGGTTTCCCACTACAGTACTATCCTTACTATGGCAAGCTGCTACACCCTCAGTACCTCCAGCCTCTGGTGGGCGTCCAGTTCATCAACGTTACCCTTAATGAGGAGCTGCGTATTGAGTGCAAAGTATACGGAGAGAACATTGATTACAGCGAGAAGGACCGTTATCAGGGACGCTTTGACCTCAAACTCTTGATCAAGTCATGACCTTAGCTATGAAAATAGCTTTTACTCTGCCCATTTCAAAACGTAATAATTTAGAGAAATAAAAAAGAAAAATAAGAGTTCGATAAAAAAAACAAAAAAAAAAAACAAAAACACGACTAGTCTTGAACAAACTTTCATAACATACGGGACCTACACTTAATCTGTATGCTTTACACTAGCTTTCTCTGCATATGTCTAGGGTTAGAATGTAAATGACAAGAGAGTAGCAATAGCAAAGTATTTATTCTACTGTAAATGAGAATATTCCTTGAGCCATGGGACATGTTCATTCATTACTGTAAATTATAATTCCACTACTGATGTAGCGAGCAGTGTTTCTGTCCCTGAGTATTTCTGCCTAGCGTGGTCTCTCTATATATTTTTGGAGTGTGCAGTGCATAGTAGTCGCATACAATGGTCCTTTCCAAGCCATGTTATAATTTCTGTCGTCTTATGTGAGTAAGCTTAGTGGTCCAAGGTGTGTGGGTGTCTCTGTGTGTGAGGAAGAGAGTGAGGAAGTTTGTGTGTGGCTGTGGGTGTGTGTTTCTATTCGTACACTTAAAAAATAAATAAAAGAAAAAAAATACTGGCATGGTACGCGCTGATATCCCCAGGTCCGTATGTGAGTAAATGACTGCACTCCGTGGAATCCTTTTTCCTTCTCTTTACTTTTTTTGTTGATTTTGGGGAAAATATGTTTTTGCATCACCTTTTCTCTTTTTATTTGATCATCTTGCAGTGTGGGAGTTTGGGGTTATTGTCATTTCTGTATTAGGCTTTTACTTACTTTTTTCCTTTTAAGTGTAGAACTGTGTGTATCTAGTCTGGAGGATAACTCTATGCTAGAATGGAGGACTGTTCCTCCCTGCGGTCACCGTGGCAACTCAGTGCTTTAATTTAATTTTTTTTTGTTTTTGTTTTTTGCTGGAGACATCACATGACGTGGTGTAACTTTCTAATGAATGTTTTAGCCATTTACATGGTGGAAGAATTTTATATTTATGCAGTTGTACAATTTTTTTCTGCAGGAAAAAAGTGTATTGTATGAATCCAGATACCAAAGTCACTGGTCAAAGGTTAGAAACTTATCAGATACAATGCAGTACCCCCGTGTAATAGGATGTTTTGTTGATGTTAAAGTGCATGTTAAAGTCAATGCTGAACACCAGAACACCTGTCAGGAGTTACATCTGCTCTTGTTGTTTTATTTAATCCGGGTAAGACCTAAACAAATAAATGTACAACCAGGCTGTTGTCAAATTGTTTTTTGTTTGTTTGTTTATTAAATATTAATCAAAAAATAATTTGTATAAATGCTTCATCCATCTAATATCTTGAAGAAATATTGGACCTGCAAAACAGAAAGTACCACATCATATATAAGAACAGCAAAATGTAGTCACATCAGGTGCACGGTCCTTAAAAAACAGTCGAAGTATTTGTTAGGTTAAATTCATATTTGTGGAACCACACATTTAGCACTTCATTTTAACTTTATCAAAGCAATTCATCAGGCAGGCAGCATGGTTTATTTCTGAACAATTGACTTTCCCTGAACACACATCTGTAAAGGACTAGAGTGCTTGTGTGTGTGTTTGAGAGAGTGGTCTCAGTGTAGATGTGTGTGCATGGCCTCTCTGAGGCTCTTGGAATGTGGTAGCTGAGCCGGTCAGCAGGCAAATGATTAACAAGGACTCGTTTGTTAAGAGGGGCTGGACAGATCAGGAGCTTGCGTGAAACAATGACGTAGAATGGGCCAAACCCACTCCTTGACAAAACAATGCCTTTGCCCCCCTCCCACCGACTCAATCTAGCCCTGTTCTCCTGCTTTCCCTTTCCAGGAGAGATTATGTGGTGGGTTTGATTCGGCCTACAGTGGACAGTCATGAGACTTGCTGCTTTGGCCTCACATGAGATGCAGAATTATTCATGAAGGCAAACAAACGTTCAGCGTTATCAAAGCAAGTTCAGCCTACAGTGCTGCAGTTACTGAAACAAAAGAAAGACTAAATAAGATGTGAAACAGCTCACCTCCAGTAAACCGTCTTCTGGAAGGTCGGTGCAATGGACAGCGTTTTGCACTTTGTTTTTGCCATAGAGCGCTCGTAACGTTGTGGGCCGTAGATGCCGCGCAATTTCCTGTAAAAGAGCACACAGGACAATAGTATAAAGGCATGATGACAGCTTACTAACATTCTGCTGAGAAAACAATGGGATAAACCAAGAACATAGTGGAAAGACATTGCCAGACCTGCAGTGTTTCCTGTACACCACAATAAAGTCTAGACAATGATGCACTTGTGATGACTGCTCATGTGCATAAAGGCTGAAGAATCAGATTACTTCTCATTCACTGTAAAGTATCAAATTACAGAATATACCTGTTCATAGAAATAAGAAGTTAATGCTACCTCATCTACACCTACAGTCCTCTTTGCTGAATCTGAGGCAGGCACAATGATAAAATAACTTCATTCAGGTTGCTTAATAAGCAAAAAAAATCCCCTAAGTATCTGATATGGAAATGAGTGACATGAAGAGACAAAATCCAATGAAACTGACTGGGATGGGCAGTGGTTTGACCAACCCTGCCTCTGTGAAAACCATTGGGTCACCAAACTCCCTGTATCTCTAAGAAGCAACAGGCTGGCATAGAGCAGAATACTCAACATTCTGAGCATGTTGTAATGCAGCAAAACAGAGGAAGAGAGTCCTCACAGTGTTAACATTTAATAATTGTTTCAAACTGCAGTACTAGCCTACAGCAAAAAAGACTGATATCACATCTCTCATATGTCACACATCTATATAGAGAATATGCAGGGAAAAAAAAATCACTATTAAACTGACCAGCAGCATTTATTATGAGGATATTCGCCCTGGTCTAGTATTGGGCGGCAATGATTTGATTTATTATCATAATATTTGCAGAATATATTACAGTATGATGGTATCAGTTTCAATAATGAAGTTAATGAACGCTCGCTTCCTGAGTGCCGCTACTCTATGCTAAAAGAATGTCTCACGTCTCACGAACCTGACATTTGCTTTATTTTGTGGTGCTTCTATTAAATTTATATCAAGGGGAGACTTTGATTAGGACAATATTAATCAATAAGCATTAAAGATGTGAAGTCATTCAGTTTTGATGTGAAATTCTCCGTTTGAAAGAAACTTGCAACAGTCAGAATTGTTCAAAGTGATGATAGAGAATGCCTGATGTCTAAGACATTGTTGTATGATGGTTTTGAGACACATCATAAAAAAGGTGCTATCAGGGAAAACAGTAATCCCTCCTCCAGTCCCCAAAAAGCATACTTTTTCACAGTCATCAATTTTTACCATTAACAACATCACAAATAAAAAAACTCAGAAGACACATGTTGACTCACTGGTCATTTAGTAAATAAAATGGCTACATTTGTGTTGTAGACATTGCAATACCTGATTCCTATTAACACTATTGTAAAGAAATCTGAGTCAGTTTCTCTACAATACACCATGTCATATCAAACCACTTTCAAGGACCTCTTAATGACGGAAATATGCAGATTACTCTTTAACTAGACAGAAACTAGATTTTCAGAAAGAAAACGTACTATTAATTTAATGTTTATGCATTTTGAACTGTTCTTTTAAAACATCCTGAAACAACCAGCAAATGACATAGACTTGGGTTTTTGATATCCATCAATACAAAAAAAAAATCAATATTGTTGTATGACACCAAAACTGATATACCGATATATCACTCAGCACTACCAAGGCCCTCAGAGGAAGGAAGCAGTCAATATAGTCAGGCTTTTCTTACTGCTGCTGAACACAAAGTTGCCATTTCGATGCCCTTTCTGTAAAATGCTAGACTAATACCAGGTCTCGACTTTAATTCTTGCTCACATGTGTTTTTCATTCAAAGCTCAGCTGGCTAACTAGCTGAGGCTAAAATGGAACATGATGAAATGAAACGTTCCCAAGGACACAGGCCATCGGCTCTACTGTCCTCCACTAATCTCCACCATGAGGAAACGTGATCCGCTCCCCCCTCTTGCTGCTACTCTTGGGGGAGGGGTCATCCGAATGTAAATAAGCTTCAAAGAAAATTAAGAACAACAAGCTTTCCCAAATCACCTCTATCTTTCAGTCTTCATTTTGGCATGATCTCAAAAATTCTCATCGTTTCAAGAGCATGTAGGTCTCTTGAGACCACACACAACGACAACACATTATTATAAGGTTAAAAGAGTTTAACGGTTGAGAACGACCACACATATGCGGAAGGAAAATTATTATTGTGAATTACTGTTTAAGTGAAAATAAGCCCCATTAAAACACATGGTAAACCATCTGAGTCTGTGCAGTAATCTGCTGTTATAGAGTGAATCCTACTAGCCAGTCATTACATTCCTCTCTTCACCAGACCAGGAAAACAGGCAAACATCTCAAGGCCACACCACTGTAATAGTATCCTTCCACTTCATTTCGTTTAATCAAAAAATGAGCTTTGTTTTTGTAGGCTCTGTATGCATCATTGATAATGTCAAGTTTACCAGTCCAGGACAAGACATGATGACAGCCATGTCGTTTTTCTTTTTTTTAGAGGGAAAAAGAGTGAAATGTTCCTATCTGGGGAATTTGTTCAAGTTTTATCCTTTTAAATGCAAATAGAGTCGAATTAAATCAATTATACCACTTTTTTTTTTTAAATCTAACAATTTCATCCTGCAATAGCACCCACCACTGCAGCATTCTTGCACAAAATGTCACAGGCATGGTTTTATGCAAATTAATATTTTACATTGTAAACACACACCCTTTATAATTGTTTGGATCCTATGCATATGAATGGAAATGAATACAGGGTCTGTGAATCCAGCAGAAAACCTAAATGTATGTTGTAAGTGCTACCTTTACATTTACTTTATATACAGGTATAGCACATATATACACATATAGCAACTGTGAAAAAGTCAGAGACCAACAGCCATTAAGTACAAGTTATCTATTTTTCAGCAAAAACATTTAACAGAAAACTACATGGAAGCCTCTACTAAATATTTTAATTTTTCAATGCTTCTTGTAAACACCTCTAAAGTTCAGTCTTAGAAGTTTGTTGCACTTTCTGCAAGTAATCCCAATAACAAATTTAGACTCTTCAGTCCACAAACCCT